ACTAAGAAATACTTACCAAGAAAACGATAAAAAATGTATTAATCATCAGCACAAATGACACTATTTCAAGTAATTTGGTTGATTCTTTATTGTTGTTTTCCGAATTATATAGATACAGAAATATATACTGTTCTATAACAAAGAAGAATTCTATAACTATTGCAGTTCTTGACGTTCTGAATTCACATTTCTTTATTGGAATGACGAAAGTAATGTTGACTTCATTTTAATTTGTAATGAATTGAAGACAGAAAAAATTATTTTGCCGTAATATACACATCTGTAAAAGCAAGTGATCATGAAATTGTAAGTTATGTTGTTGGTAATAGAAAGGTAAAAATTATTGAGAAATTGTTCTTCAAATGAATGGCGTCTTCTGCTTCAATGTTTGGCATGTTCTGGTTAGTTTTTTCAAGGTCTTCAGCTGTTCCTAAGGGAAATTTTTATTTTTATTTGCTGCTAAGAAAATGGCGTTCGTCATGGCCGATGATTTTGATGGAACTAAATGAAAACGTGATAAATTAATGTCTGATATTTACAGGCTCCCGATAGAGGGCGTACTCGGGAGTTGCGATAGCGAATTACAAAATAAACGTGTTGAACAAGTGCAAAAATTTGTTTTTAGCTTTAGTACGTAAATATTAATTTCTTAGGCTTCGCTGTTTTATTTTAATTTAAAGGCGCCACTAAGCTACACTAATTTTTATTAATTAATTTTGCTTTTAAAGGTATTATTTTTAATCTGTGTCTAGCAGTAGACTTGAAAAATATTACAAAAGTAAAAAGTCGTTTCATCTTAGCGAAAATAAACTCTATTTAATAAAAGTCGTGTGCTTGTAAAAGATCGTTTTCTTTATAATCTTAATAATAATCTAAAATAAAAGCTCAGTTTGATGTTCGTAAAAATTCTAATTTTATTTTGGTATCCTAAAAAGTACCCCCAAATTAATTACTACATTTTTGGCTAAAATATTAGAATGTATTGTACTGAAATACCGTCTTTAATAACAAACTTCCAAGATAACAATTTTTTTTCTTTCATCTAAAAAATACCTCAAAACTAGCAAGAGATGAAAATAGGAACTCAAAAAAGGTAAGAATAAAATTACTGCTACTGTTGCCATATAAGTTGATTCTTTCATTAATTAGCTTTATTTTTGGCTACGTGATTTCAAGTCTTGTCTCGAATTACTGGAAATTTTACACATTTAAAAAAAGGGTAATCGCGATAACGATATTTTATATTTTTTTAGTCGCGATGTATCATGATTATCATATTTTACAACCAATGTCGATTAGATGATAATTATCGACAAATATAACTTCACGATCAGTATCGTCAACGATAAATATCAATAACGATAATGTTATAAGTATTTCTGATAAGGAAAATTATCAAAGATGCTACATTGCAATTCGATATTTATTAATATTGCAATGACGATGTTTTAAAAACTACTCTCATGATATATCTTATTTTACAATAAATATCAAATATACAATAATTATCGATAACGATATTGTTAAGAGCATTTTAGGGATAATTTTCGAACAGGAAATTATTATTGTGTTGTGATAAATTTTATTTGGGTTACAAAAACCAATGTAAAAATAAATTATTTACAATTAAAATAATTAGTTAAATTGAAAATGTCGAGGAATATCGATGCTTCTTCTGATGTATCTCGATGTTAAAATACTGATATCACCCATCACTATTTTTTAAAAGTAATATTTCGGATGTATATTGGATTTGGATGTAGTCCCGCAGTGGACTGATCGTTAAGTCACGGTTCTCAGTAGATCACCGAAGACAAGCATCACTGACTGCGGTCAGAGTGCGGGTGGGTGACCACTTGGATCAGTCTACGAAAGGTCCGAGGGTGAGCGGTTTTGGTCTTTGTTAAACTGTTCTACCGCAAAGAGCTCGATTTCGTGCAGGTCGTAGGGCTTTAGAAGCGGGGGAGCCATTCTCTCTGCATAAGATCAAAATTGTGATGGCATGTCTTCGGATCATCCCCAGGGATGTTTCCCAGCCCGTCGCCAAAAGCCCATTGTGCAGCTCTAGTGCGACTTAAATGAGCTACAACTACAACAATTGGATGTAGAAAATGAGAGAAAGTAAACCATTTAAAAACTCTTAAAATAAAAATTAAAATTGTCCATTAATTTTTCAAAGTATAAACATTAATAGTGTCTTTATAGCAAAATAATTATAAATTGAAAGAAAAACAAAGATTCACAGTACTCCGAACATAGGTTTTAAAATACATTATAACAGAATTGTTCTAATATAATTTTAATACATTTTATCCTGTTAATTATTCATATCATTCGCATTGTTAAAACGTTGAAGAAAATTTTCTGATTTCAGATGATTATCATCTTATAAACAGCATGCCTTTTTTTTTCTAAAAAAAACCCCCCTAAAAATTAAATAAATGAGTAAAATAAAATTTAAATAATAACAAATTTCATTTTTTAAGTCTACATTCAAGGGTAGAAGGTAGAGGTTTAGTGAAATGTGCTCCATAAGAACCCTTCATGTGGATACCCACTATATATTCAATAAGTGCAAGAAGACGTAGTACAAAAATATTTTAATTATATATTCTTTTTCAAATGGATGATTGTTTTGTGTTTCACTAGAATTTTTGAAATTTTTCACATAAAAAAATTTAGAAATTCTTGGGATGTATTACTTCATGCAACTAAAAAAAGTTTGGCTACAACAAAGAAAATCTAAAAAGTGTAACTAAGTTGTTAAGTTTCAGCACCGAAATATATTTCCTTTAATTTATAAATATATTTTGGTTGATAGGAGTTAGTAAAACTAATTTGTTTGTTCAATATTCCTCTTCCACTTTTCCAATTTACCCCTGTAAAAGCAAGTAATTTAGTTTTAAGTTACTATAGGAAATTCGTTAAAATTATCTGGGGTATTCCATAATGATAGCCCTTAATGTGTATTTTTAGAATCTTTGTCAAACATGAAGTGAAAATAGGAGCCACGAGTAATACTAATTACTAGGAAATACACATTAGGAGCTACGAGTAAATAATAAAATTGGAAAAAAACAAATACGGAGTCAAGATCTTATATATCAATACTAAAAAAGGATTGAAAATATTGAAACCTGCTTGCCTGCAAGAGAAAACAGAGAAGAAGCGAAAGACATCGTCAAAGTTTCATCAGGAAATCAAACTTATTTTGATGCTTTTCATTCTTTCTTTCTCGAAAATGATTCGTTAAATTTGTTTTGAGTTTTTTTTTGTTGTTTTTTATGGCATTAATATTAATTTGCGATCTCTGATGTGCATATTTTTTCGGCATCATTTTTGAGAATGGCTTTTGGCTTATTTTTTGACACAAATATATATGAAGGGCAGTCTTTAAAGTACACCCTGTATGTTCTAATGCAGCATGCGACCAGTAAATTAATTTATTAAATTAATTATTTTAAAATTAATAATTTTAAATTAATTAATTTAATAAATTATTAATTATAAAATTAATTAATTAAATTACTT